GGGGGGGCATGAACCAACTGGTTCATGGCTGAACAGTATAAACAGATTAATGTCCATAAATTGATTATAAATCAATTGAACTGATTGGTAACAATAATCATGAACTGATTAGTGACAATATAACCAAAATCACAGACACGACTTGTGACTGATAACAACATCTCACACTGTAATGCATGCAGACAGAAGTGAGCTTAAACAGAGTTCCATGAGAACAATAATATTCATTCTGTTAGAGCACTAAGGACAGAATGTGTCATGGAACGAGCCGTTACATCACGTAGGTAAAAGCGAATAAATGAGCAGGGTGTTGACCATGCAGCCGCAGTGCAGATGTCCTGCATTGACATACCATTATGCAGAGCAGTCGAAGATGCGATACCCCTGGTCGAGTGTGCTTAGAGGTTGACAGGAGGCTCTAAATCTGATGCTCTGTAGGCTTCAGAAAAGGCCTCACACAGCCAGTGTGACAAGCGCTGGATGGATAACGGCGACCTGTAGAAGCATCTCTATAATGCACAAACCATTGTTGAGTTTGAAACGCATTGCAGCTGTGTGCGTTATGTAACACGTCAACGCCCGCACCGGGCAGAGAAGATGAAAAGATGCTTCCTCTTCTGATCTGTGGGGGGGAAAAGACCCCTCCAACGATATCACTCTTGATTTAAAAGAGCTCGTGATGTTTTAGGCATAAAAGCTGGGTTGGTCTTAAATCAGCTGAGCTGCCCGTCAGCCTAATTCTAAGGCATGACGAAGCAACAGAGAGGGCAGATAAATACTTACCCTCTTAGCGGGTGTTAAAACCAGCAACAGGGCTGTTAAAAGAGACAAGAATTTAAATGAAACCTGATCCAGAGGCTCAATTGAAGCTTTGATCAGGGCTCGCAGGACCAGCGTTAAACCCACTGTGGAAAACAAGTGGGCGTGAAAAACAGGCCTACATCTCTGTACACCTTTTAGAAACCGCTTCATCAGCGGGTGATAAAAGCTGTTCTGTCTCCAAACCCTTTGTGGCAGGAAGAGATGGCTGCAATCGTACGTTAAAGCGTACTGAAAGCCAACTCCCTATCCATCAGCTGTTGTAGAAAAACAACACGCCGCTTAAAAGGCATGAGGTGGTCTCTAAACCTTCTCTGTGCACCAGCGCTGAAAAGCCGTCCCCTTGATGTGTACAGAACTGTGGTAGATGCAGCACGTGAATCTTGAATTGTGCACACTATCTCCTGAGGGAGACCCATCCTCTAAGTGGAACCGCTCAGCGGTCAGACCCACCGGTGTTGACCTATTTCTGGGTAACTCTTGGTCGCTCCTCCTGCCTGAAGGAGAGCATCCTTCCTCCATGACAGTTCCACGGCGACCCAACAACAGACGTTGCAGGCCTGGGAACCATAGTGCGTTCACACGCCGGGAGCCACCAAGGAGGGCTGTCAATCCCTCCTCTTGAACTCGGTTCATGGACCGTAAAAAAACAGAGGAGGTGGGGGGGAAAGAAACGCGTAAAAAGCGTTTTGGGCCACCGACTGTGAGCAAATGCGTCCCCCCCCAGCGATGGATCGTCTCGCGGGCTCAGGGAAAACCGTAGTTGACATTGAGCGTTCTTCTCGCATCGCAAACAGGTCCACAGCTGCTTTGCCAACTTCTGCTGCGTCTGAAAAACATCAGATCCGGATGGAGGATCCGGTCCACGTAACGTGGGCCGCCCTTGGACGTCACATCAGAACACCGGATATGTAAACCGCTCTAATAAAAGCAGGTTTTGATGAACCCAACTCAGTAGCTTTCGCACAATGTGTAACATCTGGCTGAACGCACACCCTGATGGTTATGTATGCAGCAGTCATCATGATGTCTGTGTGAATCAACACGTGTTGATTCTGTAGCACAGGAGCAAGGTGTTGAATCACATTCAGTACTGTGCGACACTCCAAAACATTGATGTGGGCTGATGTGTAGTGGGGCCACAGCGCCCCTACTGCTTGAGATAGGTATGTCCCCCCCCCAGCCTGACAGCAACGTGTCCGTGAAGACTGACCCATGACGTGGGTCTGCTGAGGGGGACTCCCTCTGATAGAAAAACAAGGTGTTTCCCCAGAGTCGGAGGTCTGCTTCCACAGAGGAAAAGACAATGATCATCCGTCGTTGTTTTACTGGATCCACATGCAGACGTGCAAAAACACCTCTAGAGGCGTCTCATGTGATAAATGAGTTTTCATGGTGGTTGAATTTAATTCCACTCCAGAAAAACAAATGTCTGGGCCGGGAAAATCGAGCTTCCTTCCACTTATGGCGAAGCCCAGATTAACAGGTGTGATGTCAACACCTGATCCTGCATCAGCGCCTCCTGTCTGAAGTGACAGGATCCGCAGATCATCCAGGTAAAAACAAAAAACTCTCGTCTCTGTGTTTTAGGATGATCGGTATGCGTTCTCTGGATGTTAAACAACAGATCCAAGAACGGTCTCACCCCTCCGATCCGTGAGTAAAAACCCTCGTGTTTTCTCTCCCTTGGGGAACTCTGTAGATTACTTTTATCAGAAAACACTTGGATTTCTGCATTTAGGGAAGAGAATCAGTCTGATGATGATGACGGGACCGTTTATATAACTCCTCTGAATGGAGGGGTTCGGGTTGCAAACTGTAACTTGTACCATTTGCATAAACCCTGTCCATCCATCTGAAAAACGGCGAGCATGTTTTGCCACTCTACGTAACGTTCGTGGATGAACGTGCGTTAATGATGCGTCATGTTTTGTATGGCTGTCAGCAGTCCGTCCCTCAACCGCCGTCATGCGTCGCGGGAATGTTTTCTGTGTGACCCCGGGCGAGACTTGAGCTGAAGGCGAAGCGTGTGACAGCTAATGACGCGGTGGGGCTGCGCGTTTGACGTCGCTGTGCGAACGTTGAAAGGCGGAGGGCGTGACTTCATTTACACCGTGCTGTTGGAGTGAAGGCTGCTTAGCCCCGCGGGAGCACACGTTGTTCTCTGGAGGGACGCGCGCCGCTCTCGCTGGAGGGGCGCGCGCTAGAGGGAGGTGGGAC